ATAGTTTCAGGTCTGTTTGTTGACCTTTAGGAATGTTTTCTGGTTGCGTCTGATGGGGTGCCATGCCAGGCCCCAAAGTCTATTTTTGGTATTCCCCGGGGACTTCATTGCTCTGCTCCCCTCACTGTTCTGTTGCACACCCTTAGTGTCTTGCCTCGGTGTGGTGGGGTCAGATTGGGCACAATACCCATACTGTGTCTCCAGTGTTGTCCCTGGTAGTGCTATGGGTCAGTGAAGGATGTTTTCATTCGCTGCTGTGTGTTCTGATCAGACATGTCCTTCTCCCTGAGCTGTAGCTTCAGTGCTGTCCTCTGAAGTGAATTCTTCTGGGCACTTGGGGCTGGAACAAACAGTTTCATCTTCTCCCCTCAGACAGATGGTTGGTTTGAAATACTGACTTGTGATTGGGAGCCTAGTACTTATCCCACGAGGGCTCCTTCCAAAGAAGCGTCCAGTGGGAAAATCACATGTTAGCTCATAGTCTACATAGATTTGCATATTTCCATCCAATCCTTTGGGGTAATGAAAATGTTCTGAAGTTAGATGGTAGCATACATTGAATTGTGTACTTTAAATCAGTTAGTTCATAAACGGAGTAATCCTATGGTGTGTAAACTATATCTCCATAAGACTAATGAGAGATATTGTCATGTTTATAAATCCATGACCTACATGGCTCTGTCCCATTGAAAATAACCAAGTTCATTCCAATGCAAAGGCTTGCTAAGGGGTCACAACCCACTCAGTGGCACCTATCATAGACTCCTGTATGGACAGCATTCATGCATTTGTGAGGACAAAACAATTAATTTGTTCAGTGGATGAATTTGATCATGCCAATTGCTTCAATTCATTCCTTCTTGCACACAAGTAGACACATACACATATACACACACCAACATGTCCACATACATGTACCTATGCATACACACCAGGATGTCCTACTCATCAGGAGCGGTCGTTCTCAGCCACCAGCTCTAGGAGGGAAACCCGAGTGCTATTAGATCTGAGCAGAACAGACACATTTCTGGTCACATGTTGCAAGGCCTCGGTTAAACTCACACAGCTCTTTCATTGAGAACCTCGGGCTGACAGCATCTTGGGGCACCACTCTCTTGTTTCCCGCCGATTTAATATTAATGTTTGAGCCCCACACCCATCTGGACTGGCACAGCAATCCAATGAACACTGACCGGTCCTGCACATGGTTTTCCCATGAAAAACAGGATTGTCCCCAAAGTGGTACTGCCTTATTCCGGTTTTTGAATGCCCATAAAGGTGAAGGGAAACACAAATCTGGTTGGAAAAAGCACAGCAAGATTACTCCTTAGAAGGGAGGTGGCAAGACTTTGGACATGTTGTGAGACCGGTTCCTGGAGATGGACATCTTGTTTGTTAAAGCAGAGGGGCAGCGAAAAAGAGGAAGATCCTGAAGAAGATGAGCTGTCATGGTGGTTACAAGAAGGGGCTCGACCAGGACAACCAGGGGGAGGATGGTGCAGAGCTGGGTAGAGTTTCATTCTGCTGACCTCAAGGTTAAGGTCAAGGTTATTGTGAGACAGGTAAACAGCAGTGAGGTCAAGAGTGATATTATTTGATGCTATTGTGGTTTTTGCTTGTTTTTTGTTTTGTTGTTTTTTTTCCTGTGGAGAGATGTTCATGACAGATTGTTAAGGGAAAGGTGCTAAAGAATTATAATAATGACCTGATATCACTTTTCTCCAGAGCATAGAAAAAGAGTAGCTATGATGCCAACCAAAATGGGAAGAACAAGAGAGATACCAGGAATCCGTATTCATTTGTCTCTCTAATTACCTTTTCTTTTTCATAGATCCTTTTACAGAGAAGCCCTGGTAGTGTAGTGGTTACTTGTTAGGCTTTGAACTCCAAGGTCAGCAGTTGGAAACCACCAGCCACTCCTTGGGATAAAGACAGGGCTCTCTACTCCTGAAAACAGTTATAGTCTCAGAGCCCACAGGAGCAGTTCTACCCTGTCCTATAGGGTCACTAAGAGTCAGCATTGCATCAATGGCACTGAGTTTTGCATTTTGTTTTTCCAAAATAAAGTGTTTTATATATATATAAACACATATATATACATTTCCATTTTTATCATTGTTTCCTGTAGAATAGGTGCAAGAGTAATGGATTTAGACATTTTTAAAGTCAATTCTCATTCTCCCAACCCCTGTGTAGACTGGTTCGCTGCTACCAGGAGATCCTGAGGATGAACATGGTTTGGGATGAATGTGCTCAGAGACAAGCAGCAGAGTCAGTTGCTGCCAACGCCCCTTCTCACCTGCACGCAGACTTAATCTTGCCAGAAGGCCTGCCTGAAAAGGACTTTTACACCCCTGTGTTTCTCTTCCAGAACCGAAGATGTTTGTCTTGCTCTATGTCACAAGTTTTGCCATCTGTGCAAGTGGACAGCCTCGGGGTAACCAGTTCAAAGGCGAGAACTACTCCCCAAGATACATCTGCAGCATCCCCGGCTTACCTGGACCGCCAGGCCCCACAGGAGCAAATGGTTCCCCCGGGCACCACGGTCGGATTGGCCTTCCCGGAAGGGATGGGAGAGATGGCAGGAAAGGGGAGAAGGGCGAAAAGGGGGCTCCAGGTAATGATGCTGAAGTTGTGCAAATCCTCTCTCCTTCTTCCCCCTTCTCCTTTCTGTGTGGCCTTTTCTCATGAGAATGGTCCCAGCAGCTCCTTCTCTAGTTCAGCTTCACTGATGATAATAATCATTTACTGACATCCACGTGCTTCAGAGTCCCTGGGTAGTACCGCAGAGTTAGCATGGAGTCTACAGGCTACCCAGAGGAACTGCGGGAGAAAGGCTTGGCAGTGTGAAAAATCAGTCCCTGAGCCCTACCTGGGCACACAAGGGGTTGCCATCCAAGTGACTCACCTTGGCAGCAATAAGCAGCTAGTACTAGGTTTCAGGGACAGCCCCAAATGCTTCGTCTGCAGGTTTGCATGTCCTCATTTCATTGCACCTTCCACCCTTCCAGGTGAATGTTTTCACATTTGATAGGTAAAAAAAACCAAACGCACACAAACAGGAACAACCACAACAAACAAATGCTGGTCCACGGGGTGGGAGAGATGAATTGAATCACTGAAGAAAGGATTGTGTTGCTAGTAATGTTGGAACTAGATTCAAACATCTGATGCCTGGAACCAGTGAGTTTCCATTTAACCCGTTCCCAGACTGTGATCCTGGTTACCACGAGCAGGCCTTGGCCAGGTGTGGGGAGGTGTGTATGGGTGGACAGAGAAACAGATGAGATTGGAGATGTACAGAGTGCTCAGAGGCAGGGATCTGGAAGTACAGGTGCCATCCCTGCCCTTGTACAAATCTCCCAATTGAAGATGGAGAAAGG